CCAAATGAAGAATTTCTCGGACCTCATACATATGAGCATTGAAAAACAGCGTGAATTCCTTTTTCTCGTAGTAGGCTACTGGCGAAGACGAATTGCGAACAAGTTGAAAAACCTCTTTTCAAGGAGTGTTTCATGAAGTAAGGTGAAGCCACCATACAGCGTATTCCTGTGAGCCTCCGCTATGTGCTGTCAATATCAAACTCGTCTAGATTTATTGATTTTTTTCTCTCTAGCACATCTTGAACTGTCTTCATTTCTAGATAAACTGTTTATCTGCTTGCTTATGCCTTCTTTGAGCCACCTTTTTCCTTTCTCTTGGTTAATGTCTCCCTTTTCGAGCACAAGGTGCTGAACTCGTTTCTCGACTTTCGAACTGATTCTGCTCAAGGTTGTTGAAGGTGAAATAGGCGATGTAGACATCTTTGTGTACTCCACTGTGTAATCTTGATCCCTACAAGGAACATTGCGCATCGAATCAAGTCGCCGAAGTGCCCAAAAGTACGATCACAGCATCCGACTGATTAGCGCGAATCCATGACTTTGTCAGGAGATTTGGTTCACCCTGGCTTGATGATCGCCTCATATGGAAACTGAGTTTCACCACCGAGTTCAATTCTACTTCGTTCTCATGCTGCTCGACCGGCAACCGGCCGCTACAGTACCCCAGGTGTCGTATCATGACCTACCCACCGATCGATGGCCGGCAATCGCGTGTCGCCACGTGGCATCCCGCCCATTTGCTGACCAGTCGATATGGTTCTGTGTGCCAGTGGTGCGACGTTTTCTTTCGATGTTGTTCTTCGTTGTTTTCGCTGCCCTCTGGGCATCTGACGTCCTTATTGTTTCCTTGTATGGCCGACAAAATTGCGAAATACTTGAGCAACAAGGAACTGTTTGTATTCGGTCCTTTGAGTGGATTAAAATACTGTCTCTATATGCGCCCTTTCGCTTGGATCTTGGTTCACTACTATACCGACTTGCATGTTCAAAGTTTTACTACATGAAAGAAGGGATCACGGGGTCTATTCCAGTTAGGGAGGCATCATGATGCAGTTTCTCGGTGAACTCGAACATTCCAGCTTTTCACGCATGTCAAGTGACTGCCCTCACCCCCCCCCCTAGACTGGCTACACTCCCCCTGGCTCGGAGTTACCTTAGCTTTCTGGAAAAACTGCATCGCGATGCCCCTCCCCCCTTAAAGGCAAGATTCGGGATAAAATAGGTGTCTAAAAGCGTTCAGTCATGAAGCTAGAGGTGGGAGGTGGTCTATAAAAGAGAAGGAAAGCAAACGAAACCACCGATTACGCCCCGTACAGAGACCTCCCCTATTTCAGCCACATTCCACCTTGGGATAGAGAAAAGGCGCGTTGGACGAGTTTCACGAACCTAACTCTAGTTGCTCCAGTGCCAATGACATTGGGTCGCGATGGGACCGCTGCCTCAAATGCGCCCGCGCTTTTCAAGCAGCGCCACGTGGCAACCGACAGCGGAGGGTGGGGCTTGCGGACGAAGGTGTGAGTTGCGGGTCGGACGAGCTTGTGCCTTTGTCGCGCACTTTCAAGCGGCAAAAAGGGGTGCGACAACAACACTTGTCCGCCTGCCTACTACCCCGGGATGGAAGAGGCGAGCGCGCCTAATCGTGGAGCGTGCCTTTAACTGGAATAGATCCTGATATTCACCTCTCACCCCCGAACTCCTGGCTCACGTGTCAAGCTGTCAGGCGTAATACCAATCAGTATCGAGTGCCACTGCTCAATGTTCACGGAAAACTTTTGACAATACGAAGGGCGTGTGGTGCCATTGTTCGTGCCACCTACAGTAACTTCAATGGATCTATTCCAATTAGGGGCATGCTGTTCAGAGCACTCAACGTCTTTCCCAGTGAAAAGGTCAGGATTGGCGGCGTCGTGTGTATCGGTCGTCGGCGGGGCAAATCTCCCGTCGCTCGCACTTTGGAGCGATCCGTCGCTCCTGCAATTGGTGCAAAATCGCTCCAATCGCAAAGTCTGACATCGGCCACTGGGATAGACTCACTGGATAGTTCCATAAAGCGAGGGAATCGTTAGGCTGGTGTCCGAGTCCGGGATCCGTCGCAGGTTTCGCTGATTTTCGCGATTTGCGCGATTCACGCGAAATCACAAGTGCCCGATCAATACTGCAAGGTGTTCTCCAATCCTGCCGCCACTTCTGCTTGATAGTGATGGCTGAATGACTGCTCATGATTCCACTTGTTTCATATTCAGTGTTTCAAATGTTCACACACTTGGCTCTCATACTTTCTGCACGATTTGGGGCGCGGCCGCGCTCGCCGCGGCCGCGCCCCAAATCGTGCAGAAAGTATGAGAGCCCACACACTTGCAATTTTTGCGATCCGTCGCGTGAATCGCGCAAATCGCGAAAATCTGGATTTCGGACTCTGACACCAGCTTTAGGGAGCGCCAACTATTTCAGCCCCACTTTTATACCCACATTGGAGCTTACTTCCTTGCGAAAGCTGGTCCATAGGCAGTACTCGCTGTTGCATCTTATTTCCCTTTTTGGAACTGAGACTTCGCTGTAAGAGGATTACAGTGTAGTAAGTACAAGCATGGGAATAGTTTTGTTCACGGCCAAGGTAAATCTACCATTGTTCAGCCAGGTGTCAGAGTCCACGACTCGAAAGCAAACGCGAGAAATAACTTCTTTTTCAGTGTTCACACCTACTCAACACTATCACAAGTAAAGTGCAAGCGACAACGCAATTGAGAGTGTACAGTTGCGATTGTGCTATCGCGGTTGCGCTTTGCAAAAGTTGCAATTGCAGTGTGCGGTTCGTTAGGGCAAGAAGCGACGTTTCCGCTTTCGCACCGCGAAGTTCTTTTCTCTGTGGCAATCCCAGGTTCACGCCTGATCAATGGTGAACCTGGGATTGCCGCGAATGGCAGCGAAAGTTTCGTGGTAGTGAAGAGCGGATAATTCGCTTTCTGCCCTAGCGAACCCGCAATTGCACGGTCGCCAAGTCTAGCACCTCATCGTCAGCCTACGCGTTTTAACCCTTTGACGACCGCCGTTATGAATGCGTCACTTCACTTCTTTCTAAATTTTTTCATCAATAATCATTAACTCTCCAACAATTTCACTATTAGTAATTAGCGCATTATTCCGCGAATTCGATAATGTATTTGTGTAGTTTTGAAACATAAAAAATGCCAAAATAAACCCCTAAAAACGTGTCGCCACCGAGCGAAAGTGTGGCCCACCGGCGGGCCACACGGTCGTCAAAGGGTTAATCGGACGCGTTACTCTCTAATCGCGCTCCCTTTCCACTCTCGCATTCTCTCTGGTAGCGGACTGTGACGCTTGCCTTATTCGGGCCAGGGTCGCTAGGAAAAAGGAGACTTTATCCACCCTTGATCGTGAGCGAACTTGGGGCAAACACCATCATCTCAGAGATGGAGATAAGAGGCGCATCCTAGGGCGCGGTAAAATACGGCCAATGGGGCTCCTTCAGCTTTGAAAACTTTTGCCCTCGAAAAGCTAAAAAAAAATGGTTTTCTTTTCTAGTGGCCCTCACCTTGCCTAGATTCACCGTCCTCCGCTGTCTTTACAGACATACTTCGTTTAGAAATTTAAAATCGGTTTCAGAAAATTGCTGTTCAACAGGCACCAAAACTATGGCGGACCAACTGAGTGGTGGAATGGGGAAGCTGAGTGTGAGTTTTATTATTCTTTGAAGATGTACTATCACTTGGAATTCGTAAGCTAGCGAGCGACATTTGCATGACTTCTACGATGTTAGCTCATAAATAGTGAATTGTGGTAACTGATTCAATAGCTGGTATGAAGTTGATGTGTTAAATAGCGCCTGAGTACATATCTGGGTGTTAACATACTACTGGGAGAGCGCCGCCGCGGCGCACGGTATCTCACGGCGCACGCATAGTCGGTCGGACGACAGCAATGATCGTAGTTGTCGCACAGCATTGGATGCGTATCTATCACCGGACTTACAGTCGATATCCGAAGTTGGGGTAGGCGTGTCACCGGAAGTGACGTGCACTTGATAGAAGTTGCGTGGATAAGCTGTTGCCAGCATGCTTTGCTGATATCCAGCGATGTATGTTGGAAGCAGCTTATCCACATAGCTTCTATCAAGTGTGCACGTCACTTCCGGTGACACACCTACCCCAACTCTCAGAAGCGAGTATACCTGAGTATTCGACGATTAGATGCAGTTAGGCAGACAGTTACGATCGTTGCTGTCGGACGATCGACTATGCGTGCGCCCTCAGCGTCTCTTCAGTGAGGGAGTGCATACTCGCACACACCAGGTTTTCACGCATGTGAAGTGACTCGCCTCTATCCTTTGAACTTCTTACACTCTTTCTGGCTCAAGGGCTCTCGCTTTGCAAAAAAGAGGGCGAAGACGCTGCGCGCCGCGGTAGGGTGCCCTCCCCCTCCTACTTCCCAAAATAAGGAATGGTCAACTGCTTAATCGATCATTTGAAATAGGTCGTGCTCTGTACGCGCATCGAAACGCTGACGTAGTTGGCAGAAGCGAAGAATCCGTGATACGTACAGATTGTTAGGATCGGAGAATCGCACGCAAAACTTCTGATAATCACCGATCTCCCCTTACTCCTAGTGCCACGCTCTTGGCCCTGTTTTGAATCCCCTCTCTCTCCTCAAGGACATGAGCGCCGGAAGGTGTGGTATGGTACTCGATTTATCTCACTTGAGTCTATGGGGATATAGTGATTGGAAGTTTTCAGTGTTGGGGGCCTCATCAAGTTAGGGAAGGAGGCATGTGTTGCGCCACCTAATGTAACTCAATTTTTTAGAGCAATGCGAAGTGGTCTACGCACCCCATGGGTTTCCCTTCTCCGAAAATATTGGAAAACAGCAGCGACTGTCGGTCGCATTCTCCCCCTCCCTCCCTTCCCCACTGGACGACACCCTGACTTTGTAATCGCTTTGATCCCGGGAGAGCTAGAAAGGTTGGTGAGTTTAGGGCCATGTTGCCGGAACGTAAAACTTCAGGTTTTTCATGGAGTGAGCTCATGATGGTTGGCTATGAAACGATTGTCGCAAAATATGGGCGAAAAATTTGTATTTCATTTGTAGTGTTGGATAAAGCGCATCTGGTATTGTAGCATTGTCTTCTGATTAATTTCTTCGCTGCCGTTTTTGGATGTTCCTCAGAAGAAGAAACCGGATTAATGCCATTTTGACAAGCTAAAGATTGTTTTCTCTAGGTTGCCTCTGTGGCACTGCCGGAAAAGAGAGCCCCAGGGAGCATTGGAACGAAGTTGGACTTTGTCACGAACTTGACTAGCATTAGTGAGCTAGTTGTTTTGCCTGCCTGTAGTAATCCTGCAATCCAATCCACAACCGTTATATTTCAGAATTGAAGCCGAATGTGCCGTATTATAAATACGATGTGCGCATGTACATCGTGTACAAAGGGAACGATGGGAGAGAGGTGCTAAAGGAACTTACGAAGCAAACAAAGGACGAGTACGCCTATTCTCGTTTTCATGATCATACCTGTAATTGTTTGCTAGGGAATTCCTTTTAGCTTCCCGGAGCAAGAGAGAAAGATGTCCGCGGTGGCTGTGTACAAGCACCTCGTCAAGTCGTACAAAGACATTTTCCCTCAAGATGGACAGTTCTTTTATGATAGAGCTGCTGTGCTTTTCTCAGCTCAGAAGGAAATGAAACTCGGAGGACCGGTATTTATCTTCCGTTTCCTTTGCTTTTGTTCACGCTAATATCAAGAGGATTTGTTTATAGGAAAAAATAATCACATTGCCGGCTAACCTTGCTCCAGCAGCGGGAAGCGATGCTACCGGTATTCGCGTTGTTATCAAAAAGGTCACTGATGGCTATCAGGTTCGTATAACTACCCATCTTTGACAACTCTTTTGTTTTAGTATTAGATATGTCTTCGTTGATGTGGTTTTTAGGTGACATCGAACGACCTAATGAAAGCTGTAAATGTCCGCGACTGCGAGCGGGATAAAGGAATTCTCGAGGTGTTGAACCTCGCTGTTTCACAAAAAGGCTATATGGAAACGTTAGTACTATGTTACACCATTTCATAGCAAGCCCATCAGAACCTAAAGTTTGCATCTATCGTGTCATATGTGTGCCATTTAAGTTGTCACAGTTTTAGATCGCAATTTGTGACGTATGGCACTGGTGTGCACTACCTTTACGACCATCGCGCTCTGGGATTCAGGTAATTAGTTATTGCAAGAGAAATTATCGAAGGGTCAAACACACGCCAACATCAATGAGCTGGCTAGTATATATACAGTGAAAAGTGTAGGAAGTTAATTTTTGATTATGGCAACCTTGGATAAAGGTGTTGATTGTAATTTGTGCTTACCTTTACTAGTCCGGCAGGATTCGAACATTTTCAGTGGCTCGGAAAGGGCCGTGCGGGACACGGTACATTTACACACGTATTTTCAGACAGATTTTCACTATAAGGCAGGGTCAACCGTACGTTGCGTACCTTCCATCGGGGAGGGGTATCATTTGAAATTGGTGGGAAAAGCCTAAATTGAAAAAAAGGAAAAGCCTAAAATTTGTTTCGGAGTAAGTTAAGTATTTTCCGGAAATTCAGGGGTCCTGGTAGGAGGTCGTTGAACGGGTTTGCTGATGGTTGGGTTAAAAGTTCATGGAACAGGGGTAAAATTGGATGATTTGCTGCTTCATGAGACAGATTTGCCCCAGTCCCCGCTCGACGGTCGTTTTGCCGTTTTGAATAAAAGTCGACCGAGTTGGAGCATGTAAGCTGGTTTCAGAATCAAATGCTACAGAAACAGTCATGATGATGATGCGGGTGGTCGGGATTGGGTAGGGGTCGTGTCCGGGGACCCATCTAATCATTTAAGAGGTAGGCTTATGGCATCAGCAGACAGTTGACCCTGGCTGTGGGGATACATTTATGGAACTCTTCTATAGATTGTAAGTAGTTCTCAAGTTGTGACAGAGGGTCGGATAGATGGGTCACACTGACCAATGTATAGCAGGATGAACAAGTTGGGGCAGTATCGAGAAAGTGAGGTTTTCACTTACTCAAGGTTTATGTTACCTATGAGTTTTTATTGTTACTACGTGTAAGGGGCTATGGCTCTGTCTGTGCATCTCTATTCCAAAATTCGGTAACAACTACGCAACCACTTGGAGGGACAGAGTCAAGCTTGGAATGAGTATGCCGTGTGACATGTGATGTATGAAACACATTAGAAATGGAATCTCGCTCGTGGTAGGCGAGGCAAGCACCGAGAGGAGCGTTCCCGGAAAATTTCCTGATCTGTTTTCGGAGCAGCCGTGAGTGGGGAAAAGGGGAGATGATATGCGTTGGGTTGGGAGGTCGCCTGCGGTGGATGGAGCGTCGTTGCTCAATAAAGAAATTTGCTCAATAAAGTCGGTATGGGGAAGCTCAGTAATAGAAAGAAAACGTGTATCGAAGAGCAATGTCTGAGGTGTCTCCAGCCACTTGACGTGAGTGGAGGTCCGCTTGCAGTAGAGCTTGCACGTAATGCATAGATTACGACTTTTATGAATAAAGCTGAAAGTGTGTTCTCTGGGATTGATCCACGGGCCACACACGTACTAGCGGACGCTCTTTTCGTTGCACCTCCACTGTAGCGTAAGGTTTTGAATTGCATCCTACCTTTTTGATTGTCGTTTACAAGCACATTTTTACACCACTGCATACACATTCATTACAAATTTAGGGATTCCTTTTTTGGGAGCTCTAGCCTAGTGACTTGTGTTAAGGCTCTCATTCAATTTGCATCTCTCTAGGCCATTTCCCTTCACGTGCATGAGATTGTTTTAGTGCCAGGATTATGAAATTTTTTGAATCGTGGTAGCGCCATTTGACAACGGTTGTCTACCAGCAGTAGTCAAATGGTTAAGTGGGTGTCTTTCCCTACAAATCCTTATTGAGTAGCGCTGGATCTCCCTGTTACACACGCGGCAGTGTGCGGAAACTGGTGAGGGATAGTGACACGGTTTTAAACGGCATTCATTTGGATTTTCATTGTGCTTGAGTTTAATTTTCAATATTTTGATCTCTAGGGACAATGAGCTACCTGATCTTATGGATGGAAAGTACATGGGGATCGGCTTGACGAAAGCAGTGAAGGTCCTTGAAGGGGATCAAGGGAAATCCGCAAGTGCTTTCGTTGTAACGGACGGTATGTGTTCGCGATCTTCAAATTAAAGTTGTTATGTTTTCATCAGCGATAAAAATTGTTCTTTTAAGTGACAAAGGGCGCATTCCATATTGACGAGCAGAATTTACTGGAGAAGATTTCGCGAATGTCCATATTCTTTGATCCACGTACTGGTCAATCTACCTTCAGTGTTAAGGCAGTTATGCAGCCGCATAACATGAAAAGCATTCTACAGATCATCAAAGGCAAGTAGATGGCTAAGTTTCATTCGTTCTGTGTCACAATTTTGAGCTGGGATTTTCAAGGTCTGTATGTTAGAACAACGTGTAGTAGAAAGAGGACTTTCCCTATTGGAAATCTTGCTGCTGCAGCTAATGCATTGAAGTTAGTGGTGTTTTTGAAACTTCGCCATTCGCGAAACGAATGTCGCATAGGATACTACTGTACATGAGACCCTTGCAGGCTCCAAACTTCTGATGGTGTGCAGTGCACGATCGAGCAATACTTCAAGAAACAATACAACGTACAGTTGAAGTACGTGCTGTTTTGCTTTGTTGCCTTTCATGCTCTGAAAACAACGAATTTATTACTCTTGAACCAATCACGAAAAGTCTCAATTGTAGGTACCCTGGGCTCTTCACAGTTTCGGAAAGGCATAATCCGCACAATTACTATCCAGTGGAACTCCTCACCGTGGCGCCATCACAGAGGGTAACCCTTCAGCAGCAAACACCTGATCAAGTGGCCTCAATGATCAAGGTGAATAACGTCCAAGTGTTAATTTGTTGTGAAATCCATAAATTTTTCTGACATTTCTGCTCATTTTCAGGCGTCTGCAACTTTACCCAGCAACCGCCTCCATCAGACCAAAGTAATGAAGGAAGCGCTGGAAATTACACCTCGAAACGCTCAATTAGCCAGCGCAGGAATTAATATCGAGAATGGATTCACTACGGTACTTCATCATTTTCATTGTAACAAATTAGTGAGATGTTTCCGGCGTTTTGTAGGTGCCTGGTCGTGTTTTGCCGACCCCGACTATTCTCTATGGAGGTTCCCAGACGCTCAAGCCTGTGGACAATGTAAGTGTTGTGAGCTGTCTTCTCATGGGAGATGAAGCGATGGTTGATTTTTAAGTGTAAATGGAATGGAGATCGCTCAAGATTCCTTGAACCTGCACAGTTGACAAATTGGGCAGTTTGTGCCACACTCACTCAAAATGATGCACGTCGTTTGCAGATTAAGTAAGCATGATGTATTTTACGTTAGCAACATGGTTTCAAACTTATTATCGTTTAGAGATTATGTAGCGCGTGTGGAGAGTAGGTGTCGCGCTAAAGGAATGCAAGTCGAGTCTGCGGCTGAGATCTTCACGCTTACGAAGCAGAATTTCGATGGTCTACGGGTGCTGTTACTTTTCCTTCTTCGAGACTTGTTTTTTTGATGTACGAAGTAGTGTATTATGTAAGGCCCATTCATTTTGCAAGTTAAGGGTAATGTAGGTAAGCTGTTGTTGCTTCGTAACTTGATTCTCACTCCAAAAAGAGTTTCAAAAGCAGATCATATTTTGTAAGTACCTTCTGGTCTATTGGTATTACTTGGCGATGAGTCGACTGGCACCACTTCGAAAGAATGCAGCGGTTTTGTTTGGATAATGTGGGGGCAAAATTTTTATTTTTGCTGGTGATGCTACCTAAAATTCGTTAAAAATTTTGCATCATCCATGTTAAATTTAGGAGTTCTATGCTGCTCAAAAGAAGAAAGGTCGTAAATATCTCTTGTTCATCACGTCTGACGCCATTAAACAGCATGGTGAGTTCTTTCAGATAGTGTAAAGTGTGGCCCATTTCCATGTTTGGAGGGATCGTCATTATGTGTGACTTTTCACACCACTCAGTGATCATATTCCATTATAAACTATATCATGATAAACTATATCATGATGGTGCTGAAAGAAATTTTCGCCTATATTTCAGATCTAATCAAACTTCTTGAAGTCGAATATCAGATTGTATCTCAAGAGGTAAAGGGAAGTAAAGTAGATTCGGTAATGTTCAAAAATCAGAATCAAACTCTGGATAATGTCATTGCCAAGGTAAGTTTTTTCTCGTTACATATTTGCTGCCTACTGTTTTGCTACAGCGAAAAGTGTTCAGATCAACATGAAACTGGGTGGCATTAATTACAACGTTGTTTTGGGATCAAAACCTAATGATCCGTGAGTTTCTTTTACCATACTCACAGGAGACTGCTTTGATGTTAGTCTTTCAGAGCGAGCAAATGGCTAAGCGATAGAGATCGACTTTTTGTGGGCTTCGAAATATCCAACCCTCCTGCTCTTTCGAAACTGGAAATCGAGCGCGGCGCAACGTACAAGGTCGAATTTCCATGAATATTTTCTGGTGGCTTTTCATCTTCTTTTTTCTTCCAGATGCCATCTGTGCTTGGATGGGGTGCGAATTGTGCAGCCAATCCTCAGCACTACATTGGTGATTATGTGTTCATAAAGCCACGCCAGTCAGATGTATGTTTAGCTGCTTAAGTTATGTTTACATTTTCTTATTGTACCCTTTTGCAGATGATGGGTGCAAAATTGAGTGAGCTGATTGTTGAAATACTGAAGAAGTTCCGTGGTGCAACTTCGATCGCACCTCGTCACATCGTTCTTTACTTTTCTGGTATATCTGAAGGGCAGTTCAGTCTGGTGAGTTTTCCAATGTCCTAGTATGGGTGACAATTGGTAGTTGTGTTTTCCAGGTCACCGACACCTACATGAAGGCAATTAATACGGGAATCACATCCCTATCGGCCAACTACAGGCCCAGTGTTCACGGCTCTAGCTGTCTCGAAGGACCACAATGAGCGCATTTACAAATCAGTGAGTTCAGCTTATCGTTTCCTGCCAATATAATTGCTTTTCCGTATGGATTTTTCTACACATTTTTTTTATTTTGTTTCAGAACATATCTGGAAATCGTGCTAACGAGCAAAATATCCCACCAGGGACTGTGGTCGACACTAAAATTGTTTCGCCCGTTATCAACGAGTTTTACCTCAATTCGCATTCTGCTTTCCAGGTTGGAATGCTGTTTCACTATATCCAGTTGTGCATTTACGCATTAGTTGCGCTAAAGTGAAGATTTTAGGGTACTGCAAAAACGCCGAAGTACTCCTTGTTGGCTGATGATTCTAAGATTCCTCTGGACGTCATTGAGGGTATGACTCATGGTCTTTGCTACCTGCACGAAATCGTTACATCAACGGTCTCTGTTCCTGTGCCGCTTATTGTAGCCGATCGCTGTGCCAAACGTGGTCACAACATCTTCATTGCGAACTCGTACGTTTTCTCTATTTATTTACGCCAGTTGATTTTAAGAATTTACTACTTTTGCAGGAACCAGGGCAGCGCAGCAGTGAACAGTATTGAAGAAGCGAACGAGAAGTTGGTAAATCATGGAGAACTCGAGGAAGGTTCGCTACAATGCGTAGAAGCTTTCGATATTTTTTCCGAACAATTCACTGTCGCGCGCTGTTGATAATACTGTGCATATTCTTGTATAATATTGTTTCTGAGAAGCAGTTTTTCTTGAACAACATTAACTGGAATATTGTTATACGGTTTTTAACTCATTGCTTACTGGTCCTATTTTATTGTAGTTGTTGTTGAATGTGAAGCATTTGGCGTTCAGCTCTAAAACTGCAGTGAATAAGTGTTTTGTATGTGCAATACGGAGATGAGAGGTCTTCTGGAATACTTTTTCCATAAGAACAAGTAGGCCAACATGGGTGGCTGATTGACGGCGACACAGACGAAATATTGTACCGCTTGCGTGAAGCAGTTATGTGGAAAACGAGTGTAACTCATGAAAACGGAGGAGAGGATAGTGTTTGGACCACCTCTTTCTGCCATTTTCGAAAACGCATCTTGTTGTCTTTGGTTTTCTTGTACTTCTTCATGTACAGGATTAAGTGTCCGTTGAAGTATCTTCAAAAAAAGGTGTTGTATTAGGGGTCTAGTTGGAAATATGAGGGGATGCTAATCGTAAGAGCCGAGACCAATAATCACAGCAGCGGTAACCTGATCGGAAGTGGATGGGGAACCGGCTTTCGAGAATTTGCAGTGCACTTCTCGTCCGTGAAGAGAATTCGACCAATTGTGTGCGCTTCATACCGTTTTCGGCAATGTAGACACCAAGGACATGAAGGGGTTCCAAAAAGGGCTGTTCAAATGGCATGAAGGAACCGTCAACTTAGGCGAAATGCAGATTTCAACGCCAACTTCATAAACACAAACAGGTTCAACCGCGCGTTGCGCAGATTTCAAAATTGTTACGGCCCCTCATCCGTTCATAGGGTATGAATAAGACCCCCTTGTGCCAGCTATTTATTTTTATTCACATGTTTTTACCACACCATTGATCTATGGGTTGTCATCGAATGAAAGTGGGCAGTGGTACGTTTATCCAGAAAGTCAATTTTTCTTTGCGTTCTTATGAGATGGGGTATCAGAATTTTGAAGTCTCAGACTGATTATAGTAAATAGTCAAGCTGTTGCAATTTTTCAATTCTTCAAAAAATCGACCCCTTGTTACCGTTTTTTGTGCACGTGCGAGTTTTCAATATTCAAACGCCATGAGTTCCTTCTACATTAGTATAGGAGAAGCGGTATAAACAGTTGAATGATCAATGCCTTGTAAAATGAGTTGAATCTTGCTGAAAAGCTTCGGAATAGAGGTTTTTCTTCTGCCAGAATTTTCTGCAGTAGTACAAGCATACCAGCCAGCCTACTCACCGCGGTGTGTTAGTGGTAAACGACGAATTCATCGCATTCAAGCAGTTATGAATCGGGGCATTGTACACAAATGGAAGTCATCTTGAGAGGCTTTCCAATGCTCCAGAAGCTACGATACGTTGAAATTATCTAGGCGTAGATGTGAGCACGCATACAGCAGCTCTTGTTACCGTGGTTTGGGGCTCCCCGATATATACCCATTGCTGGGCATTCGTGGTACTAGTGTTGTTACTCAATAGTTGTGTTCTATGCATGTTTAACACCTTGGAGCCCACGCAGCCCATATGTGGGCTGCAGCCCTCCGACCGCATAGGACCTTTCAGCTCGCATTTCGGAAAGGGATTTCATTTTCTTTTCCATAGATCCCTAAAAGTCTCACCGAAGTCACGCGCGGCCGCGGAACGTAAAACACGCGCGGTCTCCAAAGTGTTAAGTTTAGTCGACATGTAGAAAAGCTTATGCCCGCGTTGTCAAACTCCGATCAAAACGAAGTGTTCCTCGCCTCTGTCTAGCGCTACAAGATCCAAATCACTGAATTTCAGGGGAACCATCTATTTTACGTTGTACGCAAGCATGCTGACTAGCAATTTAGGAGTCCTTCTAGCTATGTCACTGGAAGCGGCAAAAGAACAAGCTCCCCAAAAAGTCAATCCCATGTCCTCTTGTCTGTGAATCCAGACGACTAACGCAGCTCTCTTCCGTTTCATAATTCCCTGCAGAGTGGAGTTTAGCAGATAAGGAGAACAGACTTGAGCTCATGGTCAGCGTTTTATGGCGCGTATAGAGATATACATCACATTTGTTTCCTTTTTGTTCCATCGGTGCCCATTTTCTTAACTGTAACCTGGCTAACGGAATGGGAAGAGGGCTTGGTTTTCCGTGTTTCTTCGTTTTTTCTCATTTTTGTTTGTTCACTTTCTCTTCAATATTTTTATGTGCAAGAACCACTCTTGAGCAATCAATCATAAAAGTGTTCTCACAGACACCAACAGTAACCCTGTTATGTATTGGGTGTATTTGAACTGTTTATATATATACCAGATTAGTCCCCCGTCAACCGCCGGGACCTTCCTTTCCTGCGCAAGCTTTCTATCCTCCGCTATGGTCCCTTCCTCCTGTGACACCAACACCTCTGGAAGTGACGCGTATGCAACACAATGGTGTTTCATACAGTAGAAGGGACACAATCATGATATGACGGTAGATTTTTCGCTTCCCTTCCTCATCCTCCCTTCCTCTCTCCACTGCCCTCCAGCTGCCACTGCAGCACCATGTGGAATGAACGGAAGTGTGCTAAGCAGGTGTTTATATAGCCCTAAGAGTGTTATCACAACTGCTACAAAACATTGATATCTCAAATCCTGTAAGCTACCCGATTTGTTAGCGGTTTGTTTATCCCATGAGCTTCCTTCTCACTCACTTCATTTTGCGGACGGACACACATACATACACATACATACACACACACACATACAGATACACAAACCGACACACAAAGTTAGCGCTTTATAAAATAGAAGGATATGACTGAGGACAGTGACTATAAATCAAATATTGGGCAGGAAATGTTCGTCCAGAAGTGATCAGGTGAGGCATTTGTGATGAATGAAAGTAAAAGACCTAAAATACTACAAATGGTACAAGATGTATTGTTGGACTGGAAAGAGCATCCAATCTTATGTACAGGGGGAGAGGCAAAAAAGTCACGTCGCTGTATGTCCTCAGTAGCAGCACAGGGTGCTGTATTTATGAAGTTTAGCCACAATAATCCTTGCGATTGGAGTCCTTCCCCTATGAACAGAAGCAGGCCCTTCTTTACTGCCCTCACCGTCATCAGAATATGACGTCATCTGCTACCCGCGTCCAGCTCAAGGAGGTACCGTAATCGCTCCTGCGTGAAGCTGCTACATAACTTCTGTCAAACTTCAATAAGTGCACAGCTATCTGGAGAAAGTAACTCCTGATTATGCAGAACACTTGTGAGCAGCGTTTCAGATGACGTCATAATGGCCTATGCCTCATCGGAGACCACGCTGAGCTCAAGCCGAGCACAATGCTCCCGTGGGAAAATCTTCTGATTGCCGGATGGTAGAAGGTATTGAAGCTGCCTGACAGATTACGATGTGCTCTTCGATTTTCTGTTGGACACATTAGTGTTGAGTCCATCAAATTGTAATTGATTTCGTTTCAAGTATGGAGAGGGAAGACTTTTTTTTGGCCTGCCTGGTGAGAAGGGGAGGGAGCATTGTAAACAGTTCATCCAGCGCATTCAAAGCCACAGCACTATTCATAAACTAATACTTACTTAGTTTCCTTTTTCTACAAGGTGATCCGACTTGGTATCGCGTCTTCTGTAAAAATTGGAGATTGCTTAGGCAGCTGTGTACTTACTAACTACTGAACGAGGTCAGGGGAGGTGGGGGGGGGGGGGTGTGAAATGTCACCTAGTTACTTCATGTAAAGTCCGCTAATAATTGAAGGTTGTGACAGGGGAAACTCTACCTACTTGGGAAAAGGGAACCCCACCCACCAAGTCCCACATTATATCAACGCCTTGCGGCACGTTACATTACACACAATCATAGGGCGTGTGGTTCAGGCTTCCTTCCCCCGTGCGTGGACAACTATGCTTCTGCAGCGAAATGATATGCCTAGAACCGATCTACATACCTCCTCCCGCCGCTGTCTATCGTTACGCGCAGTATGAGAGAAGTTAGCCTTTGGAAGAGGGCAGCATGCGATGAAGGGTCATCTATGCGGAAATGGCGGCATGGTAGAAGTCCCTTTTCCCGGCTTCTGAGCTGCCTCGTGGTTCTCTTCAAATATGCACTTTTGACCTCCACCATTATTTCCAAGGAGCTGCTATTTTATCGTGAAATCCGCTTTTAAAAGGAGTTGATCGCACTTTGCTAAATCGGAATGTGCTAACTAGCTAAGTTCAAGCCGAATACTTCCAAAAATTGAAGAGACCCTCCATTCTATCAAAACTACTTCACATTACCCTTCCAAACCAACGGCTTCAGAATACCCCCACGGGAACATGGCGCACGGTTCGAACACAACGACATCCATGACGGATCGTGGGCCATCACGATTTACTGGAAAGCTGCTCAGAGAAATTCTGCACAGTTGCCTCTAGAAACCTATCCTTCAGTTTACCGATTAAGAAATTGTTGAGCAGCTTCAGGCTGGTACGATTATGGTAGGTCTTCATGAGCTCGACAGTGATGGTAGACGACGGCATCTTCTGGAGACGGTAAAGGGGTAAAGGAGGGCAGACGGTGAAGGGGTAAAGGAGGGCCTGCTTTCGTTTAGAGGGGGGGGGTAGTACATCTAAGCAATATTTTGCTGCAAAACTTCCATCATCTGCGGCACCCTGTACGATGAAAGGCTTGCTGATGTGGGAATGGGCGAACTTATTGGGTTGATGCACAATTATTGCGGATTTTTTTCGCGCCTTCTTTTTTCGAAAAGATTGGCGTTTTGTTTATTTTTTTCATGAAAATATTCTTCTCTCTTTCATTAACAGAAATGCTTATCGAAAATCATCTTCATATTCGCCACATATGCTCTACCACTTCGAGAAAGGTTGGAAGGCGGCAGAGTCATTTCGCGATCTCAACGAACTTTTCGGCGAGGGAACAATTAGCAAAAGCCAAGTTGAAAGATGGTTCAAGAGGTTCAAAACGCCACATTTACCGACCGAAGCTCCTACAGACTACCACTTCAATCAGTCGTTGAAAAACTGGCAAACGAACAAAATTTACGACGAGCTGGATGACTTGGTGGCCGATGTTAGAGCGTGGATCGTCTCCAAGAATCGTGACTTCTCCACCCGTGGAATCGACCGACTGCCAAGCAAATGGGAAGCGTTCTTATGTTTTCAAAAATATCTTTATCGTTTTCTCTGAATAAAATTTGTTGAAAAAACCCGCAATAATTATGCATCAACCCAATACTTTTTTGGCCTCCCTTCCCTCCGTAAAACCTTTCATGTGTGCAACAATGCACATTACACTGCATCACTTTAGGCTTACTCATTGGTCCACGTTGAAACGGAGATACAAATTCCATCAAATATGCAACTGGTGAGAATGAGGTTAAAATGTATTTTTTGCTAACCGAATTCTTCATGGAAACAACTGTAGAGAAAATTCTTCTACAGCATGTACTGTAGTGAAAATTTTACCCGCTATTTTCGTTGAACCAGTACTTCGCGTGCAACCATTCAGCGTTCGTTATGACAAAAAACTGTTCGATGTCTTCTTTGTGAATCAGTGTAAACGTAGAGTCTGAAGACCACCATCGACCGTCTATGATTTTGGTGTACAACGAAATATTCCCCCAAAGGTTCCCATGTTTCACACGTCCCTTTTTGGCTAGCACACCGGTAACGAAGATGTCGTCGACCTGAAAAGAAAGCTAATTTGCATTTGCCACTTACTCCTTCAGGTTGACATACACTTCAAAGTAATTGCATCTTAAAAAATTTCATCTATTCATTTTTCATTTATTTATTTATTCATTTATTAATATATATTATATATTGTTTTTTATGCAATTAAAGGTTAAGGATAAAAGGATAAAGCATTTGCCGTTGATCAATCCCTTTTTGGGATGCGGCACGCATTCTACTTCCATTTGTACATTCGCAGTGGCATTTGAATGCGATGTGGCCTATACAATGACTTGCGGGGGCCAGCCGATGTTCAAGTCAGTGTTTTTATCCTCCCAGACAAGTCTGGTACCAATTAACCGACCCCGGAGGGATGGAAGGCTTGGTTGGCCCGGGCGACTCACGACCCAGGAATTGATCCCGGACCGCTCTCGCGTGGTGAGCGCGCCACTTGTCACTGCACCACTTCCCGCCCCGTCAATCCCTACTTTAATTGCATCTTCTAGTGGCGCCTACAATAATTCATCAGAAACCAAATCAGTATAAATCAGAAAGATGGACTCTAAATAAACTCAAATCAAGCAATATTTCACCCGCAAGCGGGGAGTTCTCTGATATCATTACTCGAAGTCGTTGATTGGTAATAAGGCAAGTCTTCATATTTATAATTTATATCTATTATGTTTATATTTACTATTTACACTGGTGTGCAAAACTTAGGGACGGAAGTAACTTTCGCATGATATCTGGTTGCTAGCGAACCTAGGTCGATCAAATTTTTTTATTTATTTATTTATTTATTTATTTATTCATAGACGCAGATATTCTGCGTCTATGAATAAATAAATAAATAAATAAATAAATAAATAAATAAATTGGCACATACATAGAAGTAAATGATGCAATACAGTGCAGGCCCTTAAAAACATTTTCTTCGTCATACCCTTCTGAAAGCAGGTCCGATGGATGAGACTAACTTCCTTATTTCATGGTACTTCCTAGATAATTTCTGAAATGAGCGGAAGCTTGGTTCTTGAATGATGTAAACCCCGTAACTCGCAAAACACTCTGTCCGTTTGTTTTTCCGCATAGTGCCTGACAAAGTTGTTTAATGGAGGTGTCTTGGTGAGACCGGTATCTCCATTCCTGAAACCTGGCGGCATTGAACCAATTCTGCTTAGTCAGTTGCTGTGCGCTATGGTTGGTGCGTCTACAGAAGCACGTCTCTGAAAGCAACCACATTGCTCCATAATTTGATGCGGGGAGCCGGTCATTGGATCCTCACGCAATCGTTGCAATATCTCCTCTGCATTTTTTTCCAATTAGAGTTTTTTTCATTCACTATGCTGATCGATTGCTTTTCGCACATTTGTCCTGCCATTATTTATGACTTGAGATCATAATATGTGTCACCTTCCGTAAACATATGTTCTACTTATATAAGTAGTGTGCTATAAACATATGGTATGTTTGGTGTTTGGTGTATAGGGGTGTAGCGAAGCCTAATATTTTCTTGCACTCTTCATGTGCGTTAAGTTATCTCTGTCATTATAGACCTAACGTCTCAGTGGGTCACTACACTCTACCTTTGGTTTTCTAGTACTTCTTTTAATATCAGGTAAGGGCAATTAATTTTGTAGAAAAAAAATCATTTCCATAAAATATGTTAAACATCTTATTCCATTTTAACACAAATTCTATAAACATAAAGCATGTCCACACTTGACTTTGTTTTGCTTGTAACTTGATTTTGACTTTTTTTGTTAACTGCTGTTTTTGGCCGCAGTTCGCGTTGCGAATGTTTCACAAGAATGCTGGGTTGTGAACAAAACTTTCGCCCCAGGCGGGACTAGAACCCGCACCTCTCGCTTTCCGGGCAAGTGCGCTACCAGTTACGCGTAACGAAAGTTTTGTTCACAACCCAGCATTCTTGTGAAACAGTCTACAGTCTTCCATTCCCCTTTTGCACCACAAATCCTTAAATGGCCCACTCATGAAGGTGCTCTCTAAATAGTGAAAGAATTCCTGACATTTCATATATCCATGGTGTTGCTGTAGCGGAAGATGTGTGAGAGGCCAAATAAAACGATGAGAGGTTTGAATCTTCAGAGAAACTCGAGTAGGGCGCCACTGGAGAATTACGACACAACAAAGTTGGCTCCACCAACGCTCACTGTTTGTCTGCAGCTATGCTAGCTTGAATACCTACCATAACCTCTCCTCAAGGTTTTCCTTTTACCAGGGGTCCTGCGAAGTGGTGGGTGGGGGGGGTAGCCTGAGGTCCTAAAAAGTCATAGAGGAGGCACATGAAGGGCATATCTCTAACTGACTTGCTTGAGTTAGGACAGTAACCTTTGGCTAGAGGCGTGAGGTTTCAAACGAAAGTATGCGGATTTCCTTGGCTCCATCCACTCCTGTTTGTTTAGTTTCTCAGTAAAGTGCTCAGGAGTTTTGTAGTTTCTAATGCCTTGCTTTTTCAGTTATAACTAGTTAGTGATAGTTGATTGGTGATAACGGGTCATTTTAGATTTTTTTGTATATTTTAGATTGGCAGTATTTTCCCTTATAAATACAAATTCTTTATTCATGTTGTTCTTGTTGTGTGGTTTTCCAATATGACTGCCATTTCTACGTTTGGGTGGTGTTGTGGCCCCTAGGCCGTCTCCCTTAATGAGGTCACTTCGCAGTTATCCGCGGAGTATTCTTAATTAGGTGTGAATCGTACCATTCTCTACTGTTGACCTCACATAAGTGAGGAGTACTGCGTCACAATAACGTCGATCAGAAAGCATTCCGCGATCAGGAGTTGGGAGGTTGGTACGCCCTTGCAACTTTATGCCTCCCACACCATATCGAATGGACTATCAAAACAAACATGTTGAACGATGGTCCTGGTGCATTACGTGATCCTATTCTCGCCACATGCGGGTAAGTCCCAAATCACTAAACTTACACGCCAATTGATTTTCACTCTCAGTCGCCGCATGCGGGTAGGTCCAAAATCACTACTTACAGCCAATTTGATTCAAAGTGAGAAGAACACGTGATCAACGAAATCGGTGGTCCATCGCTAATGCCTCGGGGTCAATTCTTGCGTTTGCAGAACGTACAATCCCCCCTGCTTTCAAGTTTGATCGTTCTACTTTTTCAGTTTCTCGGGGATTCTTCTTCGCATGAAGTCACCCTCATGTTATTTCTGAGAGTACTGAAGAAGGTCTACGGTGATCGTTTCAGCCTGAAGCTGCTACGCAACCGTATTTCTCGTATGGGTCATCTGATAGCTTGCCTCCGTAGTTTTTTTTTATATCTATATACTTTCTGTTATATGTTCATAGATCCTTGTCGTCTAGAGATATCGTAGATTCTTTGTTTGTATACCATCGAGGATCCACTTGTGACTTATCTATGGTGTTGTACTCCGGCGCATAAGTAGTCGCCTATATTAATAGTAAGTCTTTCTGATTTTGTAAGTTGTTGCAAAAACCATTGTAAATCTCTGAATACGATCCCGGATTCGCTGTGATTATGTCTTCTTCTAATTATTATATTTGCTCATCTAAATTACGAAGATGCATTAATGATGTTTTAAATGAGGAGTGGAGTGTATCTTTTTTTGCCACCCCTTTATATCCCCACGCTGTCATCAATGTGTTGAAATCCACGAATTTAATGTGAGGCGGCGGCGCTCGCAAAAAAGCTCTCGTCCCACGCGGTCAAAAAATCCAAAACGCGCGATGTCGTCAACGTGTTGAGGTCTTTCCGAAAAGGAGGCCATTTGCTGCAATAATTCGTACAGTAGTCCCGGTCTGGAAGTGGACGAGTTCTGGGGAGCATGAATCACTTCGCGTTGGCTTCCACACCCACCCTCCAAACCCAAAGCTTGCTTCCGCTACCGAAAATTGAGATTGCTGCAGGCCGCAGGAATAGTACTCCGCATGCCCTCCCCTTATTCAAGCAGACACATGCTTCTTAATCTTTTTAATAAATTCTTATTAATGATAGGCATTACCCAGAAGTACCGCTGCTCGCTAACGGTTTTGAGCATTGCCGAGAAAGCTAGCCGAGGAATTACGTAAGCGAATCCAATGCAGTAAGGCGGATACTCCTTCTCTCTATATTCTTCCACACTGACATACCTAAAGAGTGCTTCAGAATATTTTGATGATATTAAATGATTCTTTCGAGAACCAAGAAGCATTTTATGAAATTAAAGCGCTTACCATGGATGGCTTTTGTTTCGAGGAACAGGATATCCTGGTGTGCTGAAATAATCTTTGGTCATTAGGGGATACGTTGTTCATTACTTGAGCGTATTGCGAATATGTTTTTTATCATCTGTGCCGTGGTGATCCTCCGTCAATTTCCATTAAAGGCAAAAGTCGGGCTCAATAAGGGGGTATTATGGCGATTGAAACTGAGTATAGAGATGCGAAGTGGAACGACAGTGGAGAAAAACTGAGAAAAACCGTCGACAAGGCCGTTAACAAAACCCTCTTTCCCACTAGCAGTGAAGGAGGCTGGCTTGGGAAGAGGCACGTACAAACAAGTTTTCTGGAGATGTCAGTCGTTCTATCGGTTGATACGGCAATCAACCTAGCTGATTTCACACGTTATGCCAGCCACGCACCACTTCCGGAGGTGGGCGGTCCTGGATTGACCAGGCGGCCCTGGATTGAAACCGAACGCCCCGGGGCCTTAACGGGGTTTTTCAAGGTGGGAAGTTGCTGCAATGTGTGCAGCTACCCACATACAACCTCCAGGCACGGGAATTACTTCTCTAGCGTGCCTGAGCCCGACCTTTGCCTTAAAGTGCAACTTAAAGGCAAAAGTCGGGCTCAATAAGGGGTATTATGGCGATTGAAACTGAGTATAGAGATGCGAAGTGGAACGACAGTGGAGAAAAAACTGAGAAAAACCGTCGACAAGGCCGTTAACAAAACCCTCTTTCCCACTAGCAGTGAAGGAGGCTGGCTTGGGGAAAGAGGCACGTACAAACAAGTTTTCTGGAGATGTCAGTCGTTCTATCGGTTGATACGGCAATCAACCTAGCTGTTTCACACGTTATGCCAGCCACGCACCACTTCCGGAGGTGGGCGGTCCTGGATTGACCGAGGCGGTCCTGGATTGAAACCAGAAACGCACCCCGGAACCATTAACAAAAGGGTTAACGAGGATTATCTGAGTCCCTGGGGAGCTTGCGTGCACTGCTGTGCAGAGCTACTCGCCATAAAACCATCCATGCACAGGCAAATTAATACTAGTCTCACAGCGTGGCCGTGAGCCCGAGAGCTTTGCCCCTTAAAACGTGGTAGGGACAGCAAACTGAATAGTATTTCAGAAGGTTGAGGTAAAGCTTAGGCACCTTCACATAGCCTATTGAATTGGAGATAGCTAAGAGACCGATCTTTTCGCGCCGGGAAGAAACAGCGCGGAGAGCGACGTCAGAAGGGAACCTTCTCCTCTTCCGAAGGTCTCAACTTAATTCGCTGTAAGATTAATAATTTCGGACTTCTCAGGGGAGACGTTCTGCACATCATTTTTTTGTCGGTGTTTGCCCTTCTTTTTGACTTGCGCACTTGAAAAAGGATATGTATGATCAGTCAAGTGAGGCCGAAGCAAATCTGATGCTGAACTGAACACCTTAAAACGCTGTTTTCAGCCTGTGAAATTCCACCCTATCGTGCTTACTCGGCGCTGCCAAGAGACAATGCAAGTTTCTCACCACCATGTGGACGGGATGAAACAACAACAGGATCAAGAGGAGGGCGGACCGAAGCGAAGACTGAGAGAATGGTAAGTTATTAACGGCTTTCATCTCCGACAAGGCGGTGTTTGATTGTATTGATGAAATATCCCTTGAGCATTCTCCTTCAACGCAACGATCCTATGGATGAGATCGTGCACGCGGAGGAATCATATCACCCCCCGCAAAGGGGATACGACCTACGCTAGAGGTAAGCAAACCAGCCCTTTTGGCGTTTCGGCTGGGACCGTATGCTGAATGTTGGGGAGGGGATGGGGTCCCCAACGGTCGACGGTTTACTTCAACTCGGTTGGTACGATAGGAGAGTACTGACGCAAGTGGTGCAGCTGGTCCAGCAGCTCCGCCAGAAGGGCTGGTTTGCTCACCCCAGGACTAAGCCTAAGAGAGGGAAAGGGGACGGGTCCCTGTCTCTCTTCAAAGCTTCAAATCCGAGCTAAAGCAACCAATTTGTGGCGGTTTTAAAGAAAGCCGCCCCCCCCCGCCGGCCGCGCCCCGCCCCGCCCCCGCCGGGCCCCGAGTTCGAAGTGGTCCGTCCACGTCGGGGTTCTTCTCATCCCCTCCCCGAAACATTCAGCAATAAGGTCGCCAGCCAAAGGCGCCAAAAGGGCCTGGTTTGCCTTACGGGTCGAAGTGCCTATGAGTACGCGTCATGGGTGCCATTGTCGTGTTTTCGAAGCTGGCGCGACATTTAGGTACCAGGCACTTAACCAGTGAGACGGGGCAATGTGAGCGCCTTTGACCGTACCTCACAACCACACCACTTCAACACTTCCCCATGATACCCGAACCCCAGCGTGGATCGCCATGGTAGCGGCCGTAACCTCAAATGGTCCTACCGGACAATTTGAACTCGCGCCCACAGGCCCTCTTAAACCGCCTTGATTTGACGCTCTCGCCTGCGCTCTCTCGCTTAACCAGCGCTTTATGATTACTGTGATATTATGTATTCAAACTTTGCCACAATATAATTGGCTCATCCACTAGGGAGTTCCCTCCTCCCTTCAAGGCTTAGTCCCTAGAGCTCTCACCTTCTTGGTTGAGATTTGAAGCCGAGCCAGGCACCGTTCTCTAATCGTCTGTGCTCTGGCCTTTCTCGGCAGAGAACATAGGGGAGAGTTCAAGTAGTCACGTAATCCAACTTCAAATATCACAGCTGACGGCCATGAACAAGGCAACTTCAGACAAGCGCCTCCGCAACGTGCAACCCTCCCTCATTTGCAGAGGGAGGGAGGGGGGGGGGAAAGACGAGTGCTCCTTAGTGGCTTCATCAGTGATTTGCTTTGCTTCTTTTTTTCATTTTCAATCAATTTGGCATCCACAGTTTCATTATCGACCGCTGTTACCCCACCAGCTTTGTAGACTACCCAGCCCACGAATGAGGCGTCACTGCCTGCGAGTCATGACCACTCGGCCATATAGCAGGTAAAACCCGCTAACGCGCAAATTCCCAAGTCGAATCAAAACATTTGTAGAGCCGCCACATAGATCATTTCCTGTGACCGCGCTTAAGCATCTCAATTTGGCCAGGTACGTGTCTCTAGATGAAGATTGAGCACCTGTGAACGAATATTGCCTCCGTTTGACGCCAAAATGCCTGTTGTATGCGCTACGAGCACAAGTTTCCGAGCTCCCCTGGGAAGCATTAATCACGATTAGATCATGAGAAATATAGTCCTTGAGAGCTCAGTACAGAATCGCCAACACAAGGGTGGTTGCTTGTCTGCGAACTGCCGCAACAAAATAGCCACTGCCTTCAATTTCTGAAAACGCTGCGACGCAGCCCGCTATTCTTATCAACCTGCAGCATGCACGGAAGCTGCGCCCATCTCACTACGACTGTGGCTCCATCGCGCTTCCCCCCCCCTCTCCGCAAAAAGCGGGGCCTGTGTCTCTCCAGTTGTACCACTGTCGATCTTACGTAAAAAATTGAAGCTATTTGGATTTTCTCCTACTAAGCCCTATACACATTGTCCCTGATTTTTGAAGCAAAACTAATAATAAGACATACCAAACACGCATCTAAACGGAAAAATAATAGCCCCCTAATGCTCAGGCTACTTGAACGGGCTGGGCTTCCCTTATTACCACAGAAGACGATACCTTAAAGGAATCTTCCACGGAAAGAGTGATCATTTTGACTTGTTACCACCAGGTTGCGCAGCATGGTCCGTGTAGATTAGTGTCTGTCCGAAACTAACGCCTTCGATGTTTCGTTCATTTTTTTTTTTTTTTTATTTTTTCCTTTTTCTTTTTGCTATGGCTTACCGAGGCTAGAGCCTAGGGGTACCGTTTTCTGGAGGTAACAGGTGGCAGAGCTTTTTCCGTGGAAATTGCCTTTAACGACCACGAACACAATGTTTTCTATCAAAAGCAAGATTGTGATTTTCGTTTCCAAAGATTCAAGCTATAAAGGCTTGAAGGTTTTTCTTACTAAAATTATTAGTTCACCTTTTTTGGTACGCGAAAAAATATCGTGCCCTAAAGTTGGCTAAGAATTTTTTGATACACTTTTGAAAAAACGCAGAGAAATCCGATTATCAAGTGTCGAAACTCTTGGGTTTGTAGACAAGAGACCGGCTTAGCAACCAAGTGCCACCACCCAAAACACAAGCAGCGTATGCGTCTCATATTCGCGCTAAGCTTGGTCTCCTCCGAGCTATAAAACCCTCCATGATTCTGTTCAGGAAATCGTTCAGCAGATATGGGACACAAAATTGAGATCAATGCTTGACTTCAGCTGAAAACATATATACCAGATTAGTCCCCCGTCAACCGCCGGGACCTTCCTTTCCTGCGCAAGCTTTCTATCCTCCGCTATGGTCCCTTCCTCCTGTGACACCAACACCTCCTGGAAGTGACGCGTATGCAACACAATGGTGTTTCATACAGTAGAAGGGACACAATCATGATATGACGGTAGATTTTTCGCTTCCCTTCCTCATCCTCCCTTCCTCTCTCCACTGCCCTCCAGCTGCCACTGCAGCACCATGTGGAATGAACGGAAGTGTGCTAAGCAGGTGTTTATATAGCCCTAAGAGTGTTATCACAACTATCCTGCTACAAAACATTGATATCTCAAATCCTGTAAGCTACCCGATTTGTTAGCGGTTTGTTTATCCCATGAGCTTCCTTCTCACTCACTTCATTTTGCGGACGGACACACATACATACATACATACACACACACGCACACACACACACACTCACACACACACATACAGATACACAAACCGACACACAAAGTTAGCGCTTTAATATATAGATAGGATAGTATACGAAGTGGTCTCTACAACACATCATTCATAATCGCTTATCAAATGTAAGCATTGGAAACAGTGATCAGACTAACTCACCCAGCGCAGTAAATATGCCCATTCCTTATGGCATAGTCCACTATCAACTTCGTGCGATGGATATTCCATGCGACATCATCGTCCAGCTTGACAACTGCCTCCACTGATGGACAAACGGCAGCAACGTACCTCAGCCCAGCGATACTCTGCAACTGCTATGTAGTCACTTTTGCGAGTAGATCAGTTTTCACTGGTTGCCAGAATCTAGGCCAAAAATTCCATCCCCGACGAGACTCGAACCAGCCTGACGCTTTCAGGACAACGTCCTGATTCACTGGGCCATAAGTAGTGTTGTTGCCTTTTAAATGAGAAAATTTCTGCTAGAGTCCTATTTTTTCACATTAATTCCTACACTGCTCGAAAGAGATTTTTCTGCTCTACAAAATGTGAGTTTCGATTCCACATGCATCGCAGAGTTTTTAACTTTATTCTTGCAAAATAGGAGGATTCACTCGACAAAATTAAGCAGGCCGACAAGTAACCCAAAAACGGTTTTACCCAAGAGCTCAAAAGGTCCTGGGAGGATCGATCAGTGACTTACCTCCTGCTCTGACACGACGTCTTCTGAACATTCCGTTATAAGTTTTCCCAAAAACTCGCGTCGTTCCTTTGTCAGATATGGCTTTTCCACCAGAACTCGATGTTCGTGCGCTATTGCGACTACTAGATCCTAGAACTCTTAGCCGAGGCGTTAAACTATTGTAGCGTCAGGACCGGGTCATGGTTAACCTACTAGAAAGGTATGCGATATTGATTTATCATCTTCTAGGGGGAACTTTTTTCAAAGGTAGGTGGTCATTTTCGTGAACTTGGCACCTCATCAGGACCTGAAATTCGTCCAAT